TCTTCATTGATGTCATTGCTATCTTGAATAACAGTTTTTCGGTTACAGAAGATCCGGTCTTTTTTAGATCCGGTTACAATGAAAATCAAAAATAAAGAAAATTAAAAATTACAACTTTTTCTCTTTTGTCGAACAGATCGCGAGCTCCTGTTTTGCGGTCGCTCGCTTTGGTGGGGTTGTTTGCCTGCGCCGGGCTATTTGCCGTGGACCACCGCGCGATCTAGATCCGAACAGATCTACGCAGTATAACGTGTATTATTTCACTCAGGAAATAATAGCCGGAGGGATTATTTCACCAAGGAAACAATCGCTCGAATCTCGGGATCAAAGACCAAGCTTTGATCCGGAGTGTAACAACGTAGATCTGAGATCTCGATCCCCTCGAACTCCTGTCTTTTGTGATGCGGGTGCTCGCTAAGAATCAGATCTGGACGTCCAAGTCTTCAAGCCTTCAAAAACCCCAAGATGAGGTCTCAATCCGGCAGAGTTTCGGCTCTCCAAAAGTTCTTCCAAAAAGTCCTCCAAAATGATGAATGACCCCGCCTATTTATAGGCAACCAGATCTGTGCATTTGGCACAGATCTGGGCGGCCACCTCAGGGTGGCTCGGCTTATGCCGAGCCACCCTAGGGTGGCTCAGCCTTGGCCGAGCCCTTGAGGTGGCTCGGTTTCGGCCGAGCCACTCCGGGTTTTGCGTCCGTCATTCGGTTGTTTCGGTCCTTGTATCTGCTTCGTTCGTGATTCGGTTATGCGGTTGATTGGTCTGAAATCGATTCGTTGACTTGATTCCTGATTTGGAAGTCTGGATCCCGATTAGGCAGTAAATCGGCTTTGGTGTCTGAGTTCGAGTCCGTTATATGGTTGGATGACTCGTTGACTCCCTGGACCTTTGGTTTGATTCCGCACTCGAGTGGATTCATTCCGTCGTTCACGTGCGGTTCGTCAGCTTCGTAGCCTTGTTAATCCGCTTCGTTGCGTGTCATTTGGCTTCGGTGTTGTGGACTGACGTTCGCGCTTAGATACGTCGCCCGATGGTTCATTAGTTCGTGTTGAGCCGTGTTAAGGGACCTATAAGCAATTTTCGTCGCCCGATGGTTCATTAGTTCGTGTTGAGCCGTGTTAAGGGACCTATAAGCAATTTTACATGCCTATAGTGATTGAGAATCATTAGGAGTTTATGACTATAGTGACCCGTACGACACAGTTAGGATCTAGAACACCGTGTGTAGTTGACCTGGAATTACGAGAATTGGGATGAGAAGTCTTGGTCTGTGTGAGCGGTTGTGATTGTTGATGTATATTCCGGGCTCGCGCTGGTGAAGTTTGTGTAGTCATCGGGGTGGGTCCGAGGAGTTGTGATATGATGATTGTAGTTATTTTCCAGGCTCGCGCCAGTGTCTTGTTTCGGCCTGGGGTGGGTCCGAGGAGTTGTGATATTGTGATTGTGATTATTTTCCAGGCTCGCGCCAGTGTCTTGTTTCGGCCTGGGGTGGGTCTGAGGTGAGGTGATATCGAGATTATTATTTGTTTTCCAGGCTCGCGCCAGCGTCTTGTTTCGGCCTGGGGTGGGTCTGAGGAGCAGGGATATTGAGATTGTTGATTATTTGAGATGAGTGATGAGATAGTTAGTTACCTGACCTCGATTCTTGGCTAAGTATGATTCTTGTGAGATGTAGGCCGGTTGTACTCCTTTTCGTACATAGATCGGGATTAATATTTAATTATTTACAATTCGAGACATATGGTATATATATGAGGGTTTCCTTGTTTGGATTATTTCGCTCGACGTACTACGTCTCTTGTTGTAGATTTTTAAATATTAATTCCATCTAGTAGTATGACCTTGTTATGTGGATGATTATAGGATGGCTAGCTGTATGATCTTGTTACTAGGATGTTTATGTTTTCTCCTGATTATTATACTCTAGTGATGGATTATATCTAGCTTGTTAGTATTTCAGCTGCATGTTTCTATTTGTTATTATTGTCCTTGCATTGGTCATTCAACTGTATTATTATTTTCCCGAGTGGGATCTTGCCGTGCGCCATGCACCTGACGTACACCTGTTTTCTCTGGTGTACGTCAGACTTAGAGGAAGAACAGGTTCAGCTAGGAGATCGCCAGAAGCCGGAAGATCCTCAGCAGGAGTGCCTTGTAGACGGAGCAGAAGAAGAGTCGAAGTCTATTCTTTTCATTTATTAGTTAATGGTTCCAGTTTACTTTTGTAGTTCTTCTCATTCCTGTCTGATCAATGTATTTCATATTTCTTCAGTTCATTTGTTCAGATTTGTATAAGGGCATGTTTGACCCGTATTTTTATGTCTGGGATGATTTACCATTGATGATATGTCTATTTTTATTCTGAGTTGTCTTTATATTCTCGCTATGTGTGATCGGGGACCTGTGACTTCGTATTGTAATTGTTTCTAGACGCTTAGCGTATTGGATTGAGAAGAAAAAAAAAGGATAGTGTATATTTCTTCTCAATCTAATACGTCGCGGGCTTGTTCACGTTTCGGTTCCCGAGTATTTTGGGAAGCGGGGCGTGACACCATTTTCCTTCATTTTCTGCATTTTTTGGTCGAAACAAACCGGCCCTTAAAATTTATCTCCTAGACCATAATAAAGCATCCCGATTCAAATAAAGTTGCGTTGAATTTGATAACAAGCATTAGCAATGCTCTTGGGAACAAGTTTCGATTGTAGCAGGAGAAAATACTAAATTTAGACACGAACCAAAATAAGCTGAAAAAGGTAAACGGTTCTTACAATTATCAACAGGTTTAAGCAAGCTACAACTAAATTATTATCTAAAGCAAACCCAACCATATCCAAAATTTAGGGCCAAAATAGTTTACTCGGGTTCCATACATGGAATCAATCCATATATAGTTTCAATTGAATTTACAAAAACAAGTTTTCAGCAGTTTTTCAGAAATTGTAATATCTGTGTTCAAACAATTATTTCTTACAAATGGAAAGTGATATTTAAGAAATTCTTCCTCTAACATGTTTATCTACATGTTTAGAAACGTCCTTCAAAATTTTAGGATTTTAGAGTTGATTTTGAGAATCCCAATAGTTAAAGGGAAGTTTCATGCCATTTTAAAAGTTAAAGAGCTCATTTTAGATACTCAAATCTAGGGTCGGTTTTGTGAAATTCACCCGTATTTATTCTCAGGATTCTCAACTTCCTTAGGCACAGATCTACAATCAAGTGCTAACTTGATCTAGCTCAGAAAATAAGAAAAGATTACTCATCTTTAGAGTTGCAAATGAATTCGGGTACACTTCATATATGATATTTATATTCACTTTCTAAAAGCGGGATACATATATATGCACAAATTTTCTTAAGCAAGAAAAAATTATAATCATATCCGCAAAAAAATTAAATATGCATCGGATATAAGAGAAGATCCGTATATTAATTGTTATATTTTACACCAAAGAGAGAGAACATGACCTAAACTTGTAACGTATTCCCTACTATAAATTTTTAAAAGAATATACAATATCCAAGACAAACAAAGTAATTCAATTCTCAAAGAAAGAAAATTTTATTTAATTGCTATTAATAAAAATAATTAATTATAATATAACATAAATTTAATCACGAATAAGTCAATAATACACAATTATCACAATCCACATAACCTAAAAACAAATAATCACATAAATCATAAAAATTATAAATAATGACATGGAATAAAAATTATACCAATACTCCAAATCCCCATTTTCGTTGCCACATCCCAGATCATAATTTAGAACTTGGACAAATTTTCAAAACCAACCCATTTGGAGTTTTTATTGTAAAAAACGACCCGTTTCACATTTATTTAGAGAAACCGACCTGGTTTCAGCACTGTCGATGAAACCAGGTCGGTTTTTGAAAAAAACTTTACGAAACTTCACGGGAGTTGAACTCCCGTGAAGTTTTTTCTCATAACAAAACTTCACGGGAGTTGAACTCCCGTGAAGTTTGGGAAAAAAAATTTCAAAAACCGACCCAGTTTCAACCAACTGGGTCGGTTTTTATAAATAAAATAGAAACGGGTCGTTTTTTGCAATTAAATCATGAAAAGGGTTGGTTTTGAAAATTTGTCCTTCAATCGTGGCTACCCAATTTAAAATAAAAATATTTTAGAATTCAGACTTGGGCGGGGGCCGCGCGTGCGCGTACCCCCTCAGCAACAAATAATGACGTCCACTCTCCCACTTGGGGAGATGGTAGCTCAGCACACCCACAACGTGCAATGTGGGCCACTGAACTAGGCCTGGGCCTCCTTGATCACCCAAAGACCCCGTCCAGGTAAGTATGGATCTCAGCCAGCCCACTGCCTCTATTTATTTGCATCTCAAGCTCGTAAACTCTTCAACTTGGGCGATGTGGGACTAACCAGCCAGTTCCTATTCAATTTGGCTGTTCTATTCCTTCCTTGATCTGAGCGTCCCTCAAATCTATTCCATTTACAAATGTGCTCTCCAAGTCTACATATGTTTCTTAATTTACGAATATAGTTTTTTTCCCTTAAATTTTGTTTTGGGGATTGTTAGGAGCGAGTCTTTTTTATTTTACTTTATCCTGCTCTCAAAGGTGTATAGACCCCTCTTTTAATTAGCAGTGGTTTTTTAAGCTTTCAAGAACCCATCAATTTAGAATTTCTCCCTTCTTTTTTGTTTTTTCCCCTACTACAACCAAAGATCATATGCGTTGACTTAAAACTCTTTAACAAACTCAGATTACTCAATTAAAAATTGTTGCAACTCTTAGTACTGATGAAGAAAAGCTCGTACTCATGATCTTAGCTGCAAACAATCAAATTCAATATGTTTTTTTTTTTAATATCAACCCACACTGATCAATTTAAAACGGGAAAACAAAGTAAGTTTTCACAATAAAACAGAAGGATACAAGGCAGACGGTAATGCAATGAGGAGCTAAACATAAAAGAAAATAAAAAGAGCGGTAAAAAGATTGATTTCACAAAAGAGGATGCTAGAACGTAATCTTCGCCGTTAACAATTTAGGATCAACAGGTTTTTATACCTGGCTGCAAAAAACAAATTGTTTTTACAAAAGCACTCCTCTTGAGAAGAATCACGCTTCTAACAACATTTTACATGCTGACATTAAAGAGGATTACCAGGCTTACCAACACATCACAAAACATTTCTGAAAAAAGCTCTCTACTCTAAAAGGGAATATTTCATGTCCACCTGCAACTTCTTGATCAAGAATTACACTACATATACTCCAAACCTCCGTATCTTGGTCAGCGAACCTTGCCGATGAATTCGTTGCCTGTGTCAGGCCTCTGAAAAGGAACTATACATTCCAGAAGGTCAAAAGCTGGAAAATTACTTCTCCTACTCTTGAATGCGTCTTTGTTCCTTCTCAGTATTTCTCTATGGACATCTTGCTTAACTCAATAGGTTACTAATTACTTTCAACTGCCTCATACCTGTCAACCATGTACAACATTTACAACCAAACGAGATACATAAGTTTCTCAAACATGTTAATAGGATATTTTACTTAGAACGAAGGGATTATTATTATCATAGAAATAAATTTACGACTACTAGGCTCAAGCTTCTAATTGTATGCATCTAGGCTAACGCTAATGCTTCTAATCGTATGCAACATCATCTAAGTAGAAGAAACATTGTAGTCATAATCTGTAAGCTGCCAACCCAGTAATCTATTATCTGACATATTAAGAATATTTTTGTGCCGCAGTCGTTCCTCTCTGAGTTTATCAGTCTTTATCTGGGTATGGATAAGACCTGAATTTGCACTAGCGACAATAAATCAATAAACAACAAAGCCATTGTCCCGTATTTTTACGGTCGGCTACACAAATCCTATTCTTCCATTCAATTTCGATTTTGGGACGTCTCTTCCACTAAGCTAATGTTTACCATATCTTTCTTAGTTGCTTCGCAACAAACACTAGATAGTAATTTATGCTTAAGGACATAACAGTTAGTTATGTCCTAACATATTGAGATATATGTTTTATCTTTCAGCAAGAAATCATATGTTACCATATAGAACAGGACCAGCAAATGTAACCAATTAGTGTAGGAAATATTATGAAAATGAATCTAGATTCAAGCCAATCAAACATATAATACACATGAAAATGTTAGAAGCTATTTATTTCCTGTCAATTAAAATTTATCTCCTAGACCATAATAAAGCATCCCGATTCAAATAAAGTTGCGTTGAATTTGATAACAAGCATTAGCAATGCTCTTGGGAACAAGTTTCGATTGTAGCAGGAGTAAATGCTAAATTTAGACACGAACCAAAATAAGCCGAAAAAGGTAAACGGTTCTTACAATTATCAACAGGTTTAAGCAAGCTACAGCTAAATTCTTATCTAAAACAAATCCAACCATATCCAAAATCAGGGCCAAAATAGTTTACTCGGTTTCCATGCATGGAATCAATCCATATACAGTTCATCAATAATAGAAACCTATGCAGGAGAAATCCGATAAAAAGAATAAAAACTATATAAATTCCTGTAGGCATATCTATGCGCATACCTAACTAACCGGCAGTTTGGGGCACAGGACCAGGAGGTACTGCACGAGGAGAAGGTGTTGGACCCGGAGCTGCTGTGGCCAAAGACTCTGACCCAGTGGCCATTGGGCCGGGCTGTGCTGGCCCAGTGGATGTTGGGCCGGGCTGTGCTGGCCCAGTGGGTGTTGGGCCTGACTGCGCTGGGCCACTAGGCATTACTCCAGCAGGCGGAAGGCTAGGTTCGCTAAAGCTTTCAACAGACTGCCCTATCTTTCTTCGACGAGTCACTTTCCTTTTCCTACCGGGCTGTCCAGTTGTCACAGTAGGGTCCTTCGGTTGCTGTCCAGCCTGCATATTATTTGTGTCAGCCAGAACCCTCCAAATCAATTCGAAAGAAGAAAGGGTATATTTTAAAAGATACCATGAATTTTGACGGAGGAAGGGGGGCTTTGGACAAAACTACGATAAGATATATATATTGGAGGAAACTAACCATGGACAAGTGGATTGTTACTGACAACGTTGATGTCTTGGATAAAATGTCTAACTTATCCTTATTACTCTCCGTCAACCTTAAGGTCCTTAACCCAAAAAATACATACAAGAAAAGTTTTCCAAAACATGTCAAGTGTGAAGCACATGACAACTAGCCAAATTGCTGTCAAACTCACACAAGACATCTTACCTTAATTGCCTTCATGAGCAAAGTCACATGTACTCCAGGTTAGGAGAGGGCCTAACCTCGTTTCGTAGCTTTCCCTTTGCTAATGAGTTATGTTTATACAGTGCCCATTTAAGTTCATGATGTAGCCACATCTCTTGCACATGTGCTATTCGTATAAGTTCTTGTTAAAACAACATTAAATACTAACTCATAGTCCATAGATTTTTTTTCCCCACATATGTTAGTCAATTTTAAATTGCCTTCAAACTTGATAGTTTAGTGAAAAAAGTCCATCAACCTTAATTTCTTAAAAGCAGTTCACAGTAGTTTTGAGCAAAATCCCCCAAAGTTCATAGTAACCTTCTGAAATTTATAACAATGATTAAAAGAAAATCCCAAGAACTTGGATAAAAAATAACTTATGGTCAGACCTGGTACATCTGCGGATAGATCCATGGCATCATCGATCCATTTCCAAGTGTTTGCGGATCGTAACCACCCTATCATGAAATGAGAGTCATTTTTCAGAAAGATAGCACTGCGTTCAATATAAGAAGCATCTACTTTGGGGGGAACAATTAAGACAGTAATTCAAATATGTCAAATAATAAGCATAGAATAAGGTGATGTTCTGTTCAACATGATCATGACATTCACGTTTCCAACTTTTCACAATAAAATTACAGAGAAAATGAAATAACTTGGTTTGCGTATTCTTGTTTAACTAATTACCCACCGGAAACATATAAACAACACTGGGCCTCATTGCTGCTTGATTGCCAATATATTGTTGCGGATTCATCTGCACTCCATATTGACTACCTATTGGCAAAGCATTTGGACTTGTTCCATCCTAAAAAAGAATACACTTATATGAAGACAAATCCAAGTTGTACAGTAGAATATACACAAAAAAACACAAAAAACACAAAAAACACAAAAAACACAAAACTATAGGATATTATAAATACCACTGGCTTATTGCCTGGTTGTACCCCAGCATGGGGTTGTAAATATGGTACAGCCGGAACGACGTGAAACTGATAGGCTGGATTACCAACCTTGGACATTCCTTGAGGAATCTGATGCAGTGAAAGAATATTAACTGAAGCAGGTCTAATTTTAAATCTCACCAAAAACTAAATATCCTATTTTGATGATTATATTGTTGCCCATACCTGAGACTCTTTTCCTTGTGGTGGCCTCCCACGCCGTCGTCTCCCTTCATCTCCATTTTCAACATCCACAATCTTTCCAACACCTTGAACACCATCCTTGTCTGGCTTATTTGCTTTATTTATGCGAGAAATAATCTTAGGCCGTGTATCATCATACGTGGTATCACTGAGAAGAAACTTCTCTGCCTCCCGTATCAACTTTAGAGCAAGTTGATACTTATCGGATAAAACCCCTACCTCAACAAGCTGAAGGCATCTCATTGATAAATAATCATAACGATCCACACGGTTGTTAGCAATGATATCTTCTGAAGGTCGGTTCATAACATGCAAGCGCTTAAAGTCCTTCTTCCAGCGATCTAAAACGAACTGAGATGGAATCTCATGCACTTGTTGCAGTTTGAAGACAGACAAAGCATGTCTACAGAGAATACCCCTGAACTCGAAAGAGCCACATATGCAGCGAACATCCTTTTTTTCTGCATCATAAAGAACTCCATGATTCTTATTCATCGTCCTCTTACCATCTTCCAGAAAGATACATTCCTTCACATCAAAGGTAGAACTTGACCCATCCACACTGACAACTGACGCATGGCAGTACATTATGGCCTCAATCTCGTCTTGGAATTTTTTGAACATGTTAATAGTGTACACCTTGGACAACTGCTCTTCCATGTAAAACTTCGACACTGCAGGCCGTCTCTTATGGAATGTCTCAAAATCTGCTTGGGCTTCCTTTTCATACTTACTCTGTAAAGCCATCTCATATTTACTAATGAACTGCTTTAAGGAGGTCTTTTGATCAACATAACCTTCAAAGAAGGGTGTAGGAGATTCATTTCGTTGAATAGTGGACATACCTGCCCAAAATGAATCTTTCAAATAGGCTGGTACCCATGAATGACGAAACTCATACAACAAGCTTAACCAATCATTACCCTGAAGCCCATACATCTCCACCATCTTCCTCCATTCCTCCTCAAACTCATCCATCCTCAACGAGTCATACACTGCCTTCTGCAATTGCTTGTGAATAGCTCTATACTCGGCCAACCCACCCAAATTCTCTGGGACTTTCTTCATTATCTGAAACAAGCAGAAACGATGACGAACCCCTGGTAGCACCTCAGCAACTGCACTCTGAATCCCTTTGCAATAATCTGAAATCACAGCATTCGGCATGTATCCTGACATACAAGCAATCCAAGCCTTCAGCAACCAAATGTATGTCTCTGCCGTCTCATCAGAAAGCAAACCACAGCCCAACAACACAGGCTGGCCGTGATGATTCACACCAACAAAACATGCAAGCGGCAAATCAAATCTATTCGATATACACGTTGTGTCCAACGTAACCACGTCACTATAATACTGGTAAGCAGCCCTAGACCTTGCATCAGCCCAAAACACATTTCTAGCACAACCCTCCTCATCCAAATCAACCACATTGAAAAAGTTTGAATTTTTCGCTTGCATCCGCGTAAAAAACAACCTAATCGCCTCCGAATCTCCCTCCCCAAATCTCAACCTCCCTCTCTCGACAAAACTCCGGCACTCGTTTTCCCTAAACAAAAGCTCCTCAAGCGCAGCCAATTTATCAACATGCACAGATTGTACCGGCTCCTCACTCTGAGCTACCATATTCTCCTCTTGCTCCCTCAGCGCCTTCTTCTTCGCAAATCCAGTCAAATGCTTATAACAATTCAAAAACCTCGCCATCGAGGGGCTAACCGGATGATTATGATCCAAGCTAGCCAGCTCCAAATGCAACAACCCATCTCCCCAAAGCTTAACCCTGACCCTAGCCTGACAATTAGTAGTTGCACTAGTTCTCTTCCTAAATTTAGGTTCTGGCCTTTTCCTACCCCCTTTACAACACATCAATTCTAAGTACAGGCAATGCCCTTCTTTAGTAAACGAAGATCTGCGAACTGAAACCCCGAACCCAACTCGGCGAGCGTAGCGTTTATAGAACTTGGAAACTTCTTGGTGGGTTTTGAAGACCATACCCACCTCGGGAACGCCGTCGTAACCGCCGTCGGCGCCGTCGTCGTCGTCATCGTCGAGTTCCAGCAATTCGGCGTCGGCTTCCTGGAAAAAGATTTGACTTTTTTTAGGGTTAGGATTTTTTTTCCCTTTTTTTAGGGTTAGGATTTTTTTTTCCTATTTTTTAATTTAGGGTTTTGAGTTCTGACCTGGGAATTGAGATCGCGGTTAGCGAGGCGAGCGCGTCTAGGGTTTTTGGGGGGTCGAGCGCTGGTGCCTTCGTCCATGGCCGGAGGGTACCGGAGGTGACCGGAATCG